TCAGGCTGGGGCTTGCCGGGTTATTAGTTATGCTACCACCCATTAGAGTCATCTTTGATAAGTCTTTACAATCCTCTCGTCACAAATGTAGCTACTGTCAAGAACCGAGGAAGATGCTCTCAAAACGCTAACGTGGGCAAAGCTGACTCCTGGAAACTGAGTCATAACTACGGAGTAGTTATGTAGAAAACGCGCCACCAATGCACCGAAAACGTGTCGACTCATGTGCCGTCTACACACATGACAACCGTTGCTCCTCTCACCAAATCCCTCCAAAATAACGGTTCCAAATCGGAGTGGCTACCGAATGGCGTTTTGTCCAGGACCGGATCCCATTCCTTCCGAAGGTCTGGAGACCCACACAAGCTTCCAGCTGAGAAAAAAAAGGGGTTTCACCTTTGCTGGAATCGATCGAGGTATGCTGCCCGTGAGCCTGCCGACGATTTCGTGCTCGACTATGAAAAGGAATCGCAAAATGTGTCGCTTTCCCTGCGTAGATGCCAGATTCTTTGTAAGTTCCGCACCGGTTGTAGCGATGACGCTGGTAGCATGTGGTCAAACTGAAGGATGCCGTTTTAATTCAAAAGGAAAGCAAAACTGGCCATCAAAAAGAAAGGGACTGAAGTTAAGCACCTCCAGTGCCTCAAGGCAAGATAACTGCAGTGATTCCATCAGGCTCAGCCCTATGCCGTTTTCTTGCCTGACTCGTGTGGGGTTCGAATTCCCATCCAACCTTGACGTCACTTCCTTTCACCCCAAAACACTCCAGTGTTCCAACCTGTCGAGCCATTTTTAGCACAGCATAACATGACCACATCGCTGTGCTGACGGAGGAAAGCAGCTCAACCCATGTTGAAATGAAAAAGGTCTCCCAAGGCAACCTATTTGCTCCAGGATAAGAGGAGAGATTGGGTCTCTTGAGATCTGGGGGACCTCAAAGTTCCTCAACGGCTTTTCGCGATTAGGTCGTCATCCCAGATTGTGACGTCACCCGGGATAACGCTTTTCAAACTTCAAGTTTTCCTGAATAGCAAAAATCCTGGTGGGAATATATGAAGCGTTCCAGTCCGCAGAACCTACATTCCTTTTCCTACACTGCTTACACGCGCTCCTCAATCTCCCAAACCAACCTGTCTAGGATCCCTTTCGTGGTTCTTCTGACTTCGGCCCATTCCTAACTTGCCAACTCAGACTCCTTTTTGGTTGGGTTGACTTCTAAAGGACTTTGCTCCTGAGTTGCAACTCAAAAAGCCTCAAGAACCATGGCTGATTCGTAGGTTCAACCTTTTATACCCAAAGTCTAGGAATCAGGAGCGAAAAAAAGAACCAACTAACATGCGCAGAGATCACAATGACAACCGCGACATGGAATCCGAGCGGGAGTCCGACCATGAGCAACAACAAGAACAACAGCAGGAACCGGAACCGGAGCCGGAGCCTCAACCACAGCCGCAACAGCAGCAAGAGAAACCCGCGAACAAGTCCCAACGCAGACAGAGGAGGCAGCAGAATAATCAACTCCAGCAACGGCAGCAACAGCAGCCGCCAATGCAGCAACAACAGCAACCGCCGCCTCAGCAACAGCAATATTTTCCTCCGTATTACTACAACCTCCCGCCTCGCGAGGAGGGCTATCGACCGCCCGTGATCCGTGAATCGCGGATCAAGGACCGGCCCTATTCGAAGGACGCGAGGGATAGCAGTATGAGTATCAGGATCGAGCTTGATTTGGAAGCTGAGGTTGATCTGTATGCGCGGGTCAAGGGTGATGTTACGATTGGATTGATGTGAATACGACGGGTATATATGGACGTGTTTTTTCTGCCTTTTACTTTACGTGCCCATATTTTTTTTGGTTTCTTTGGTTGGATTTTGTATAGAGCGGTTTATTATGAATTAATGAATACCCACGTTTGTTAAAGAACTTGGCTATCTATTCTGGGCTATCAAGCTACATTAACCATTGCGGGTTACCAATAAGTAACTAATGCTTGCCAACATGAAAGAATAACATCTATATTGAATAACAATACAGAATACTGTTAGTCATGATGCTCGCGTCGGCACAGCCACAGCCCTGCGATGCAATGCATAAAAAAAACATGGCTTGCGTGACACAAAGAGTAGATTCCGCAGTTATGGAGTAAGAGTTATGAGTTAGCTGCTCCTTTCCTCACCGTTACAGTCTTGGCGCATAAAATGCATCCAATTCGAATGCTGCCGTTGCAGCCACAGATTGCGAGGCTGTCCCCTTCGGAACTCCTAAGCGATAGGGCAGACGCTAAGCATTTTTTTTTTTTTTCCCTCCTTAGCATGGAAATGGGATGATTTGGGTTTCAAATCGACGGGAAGCGTCGAATCGGTGCTCGAATCAGGTTTCGAGGAAAAGAGAACGCCGACTGATCCTGGCTTGGGCGAGTTACAAACTCCTTCCCCCCCGAAGAGCCCCCAAATGGGTGAGAGTAGGTATTACTTGCTTCTTCATCCCACATCGCTTGCAGGCATTGATTTCTAATCTCCAAGCCAAGGCCTTTAGTCACCCGGGCTCCGAGTTCGCTGGTACCGCTGCAGAACACCGGCGATACAAGCGCTGTAATTTTCGACAGGGGAGAGAAGCAACTAGAATATCCTGGAACACCGGCATGCTTCTAGTCGATTCCTTGATCAGGTTAGCAGCATCTATGCACGAGCAACTTAGCGCGGAAGAAATTTTCCCTTGCATTTCCGTCGGATCTCCAAACTTCTTCACAGCCCAATCTGGGCATCCACCACAGAAATTAATCCCTGGAGCAAATCCCAAAACCACATGGGAAAAGAAAAATTTATGCTGGTTGCACACACCTCGTTGTCCATCTTGATCTGGACAACCTTAAATGCCTTTAAAGATCCACCGAACCCCAGTTTCGGAGAACGGTGGGGCTGGGATGAAAAGTTTTTTTATTTTCTTCCTTTCCCTTCCATTTGCTATTCTTAGAAACCGTCGATGTTTTCGTTGGGTCTATCAACGACAACTCATCAGGTGCTGTTGAGATTCTTGCTATGGTTGTTGTCGTGGTAGTACTGGCAAAGCCCTGTAGGGTCATGCCCAGTCGCAGAATTTTTTCTTTTCTACCGAGTCAGCTCGAGACTGGCTAATTAGTTTCTTCTCTAATCACCACTGGTCACCGGGTTATCGTCGGCGAAGAAAGATCGGCGGCTTCACCGTCTAACCGACGTCTTCCCTTCTCTTGTCCTTGACAGCAAGAAGATCACGGCTCAGGAAGTGCGGCATGGACGGAGGAGTCCAGAATCCAGTCGAAGCTGTGTGTCTCTCACGATCCTAGACAGATTGATCTAGAGCTCGTTTGCAGTTGACATGTTCGACTCTTTTCATTGGCCTTGTTCCCGCTTTGACAATCTCTTCGGCTAGGGACGGCGAAAATTTCGTTGAATACCAATGTTTTTCTGATTGTCTCTGTCTCTCAGCTGCTTTGGCGCCTGGAGGAACTGCAATTTCCTGTTCCTGGGTATATCGTAAATAGATTCCAGAAGGCCTGTGGAGATCAGAGATGGGCGTGCTATTATATACGGGACCTCAGGACGGGATCCTTGGCTCCATAAACATGCATTCCAGTGGCCTGTGCAAGGGGACAGTCGAGCAAATCCGGAGCGGTGCCGTGGGGACTCATCAGCTGCCCTGGATGTGGCGATATTGGCATTCCTGTTTGGATGGAAGGGATTGGTTCCATCAAGAACAGACTACCCAGCGCCGCGGAGAGCTGCTCTATGAATGGATGAAAGCTGATTTGTTGAAATACAACCTACCCTTCTGCTCCATCTCTGGCGCCGAGGTACAAGCTTGACGACGCGAGTCAGTCAGCTGCATAGGTCGCCGGATTGAGGATACCTTCATCGTCCTTGGTGCCTTCCTTTGTTGTTAATTGGCTGTTTTGATGAATTCTGCTGCCTTGCTACCAGGGAGCTTTTTGCGCTCAGGCAAAACAGAGCTTGGAAAAGTCCATGTCTGCCATGTATGACAGGCTACATACTCCACCCCTTCTCAGCACAGGAGGGATACGGTCCCTCGCAAAAAGCGGGTTTTTCAAGCCAGACATGCACGGCCAATGTAGTCTAATCAAGGTAATAATACCAGGGGACTTTATCCATTGGTGAAAGATAACAGGCGGCATCAACAAGCAGGCAGATACAAGGCCCACAATTTGAACAGTCAAAAGCTGGAAGGGCATTTCCCTATTCGAGCTTGGGGCGTGACAGGTTCTCCTCTTCAGCAAGCCACACTTTGTTCCCAAACCCCCATGTGTCTCCTGGGCCGTTGAGGCCCCGCTGAGAGCGTTTTGCCTGGACCATCGGACATTCCGCGACGGATATCATTATTACTTGAAGTCATACATTCGATACTCCACCCAACCATTATTGCCAGGCACTCTCTCCCTCTGGTGACTCAAACCGTTGTCTCCACCACCACCACCGCTGCTATTGCCATTGCTATTAATTGCTGCTGCCTGGCTGTATCCTGCTGCCTATCGACAAAGTGATATACGATGAATCTTTCCTTGCCTGGTGCAAGCAATCCCCGTCTCGGCAGAGGCACGTGAGGACCAAATATAGTTATGGCTCAGTTTGCGCCTTTCTGTTACACTCTAACAGAAATGACTCATTATTACCCCCATCAACGATGGTCCTGGAAGATGTTGTTTCGGTGTGGGCAGCGCAGCTGATCACGTCCCTTTCAGCTGTAGAAAGCTTAGGGAATTTAACTGATCTGTTGGCCTCGATGGAATTTACTTGGTGTAAGAGGAGATTCACGCTGAGGGGTCCCCTACTAATAATCTACTATCTACAAATACTACAGCATTTGAAACATATATCAACAAGTTGACAGTGACTAGTTGTTTGAGAAACGCATGGTAGTTAGACTAAGATACATGAATCGATTCGGATTGACTTTAAGGTGTCCCCTATCGTTCGTTACTTTGTATTTTCCACAAGTCTGTAGAACAAGCCCTTCCGACCAACGAATTATTATCAAAAGTACATTGTCTCAACCAAGGCCTCGGAGTTTTCGAAGTCATCAAAAGTCCGCTGCGTTTGACGTTGTCAAGTGACGAGTAGTATGGATCCATCAAGGAGACTCAAAGAGGTCTAATTCAGAGACTACTGAAACCTCCCAATTTTTGACTCTTTCCGAGATATATCTCCTCCCTAAAGTTCGATGAGGGATATAACCGTTGGTACCATTTCCTCCACAAGTGACTCAAAATGCTTCGAGCCAAGCATAAATCAAAAATCCCGCAAAAAGAAGTCAGGCTTGTCAAGTTGTCATGTATCCTTCCGTTTGCCGAAAATCTTTGCAAGGGAGCCAAATATCGCAGTCGAATTCCGCCTTCCGTCAGGAATTGGCAATCCGTCCCTTTCTTCTTTTCTTCGTTTTGTTAACTTTCGACGACCCCCGGGGTTCTGTGATGCGTTTTCAAAGGAAGTTGTAGCGGACCGCCCAGGAGCGTTCGAAGAACTGGGGAAAAGATTCAACGTGGACTGCGAGAATAAAGCCGGGTCGCGCCTTTCCTGAATGGGGAATGACGGAATGTTTGGATAAAAAGGGATGTATGTTGAGTGTCTTGTGGGCTCTGGAGACTTGGGTAAATTGGCGTAGAATCTTGTTCGTCCTGATGGCGGTGGAGGCGACGATGGTACCTGTGGCGGCTGTACACTCTGGGATCGCTGGAGCAGTTCGAGTTGTTGTGGCTGCTCGTGTTGATCCTGTTGACGCTGTTGACCCTGTCGTGGTTGCTCGCGCTGCTGCTTCTCTTCGCGTTCGCTCTTTATCCTGCCATTGCTGCTGCGGCGGGTAATTCTCCTTGGGAGACTTGCTGGTTGCGGGGGGTTGAGAGAGGGATTTGGATTGTGGGTGTATGGGGGTGGCTTGTTTGATGTTGTAGGAGAAATAGCGCTAGGTTCGTTCGAGGCTGCTATTATCAGAGCCACATTGTCGACAGATGAAGGGAATTGCTGTGATTCAGCTGAAGATGTCACATCGCCATTCCGGCCTAGTTCTCCTGGGTGTGACTGCCTTGGGATACTGGCCGGCTTGGCCAGCAGATTAGAGGGGGGTCAAAGGGGGAGAAGATTTGGGGGGACAGATCCTCGCCATAACGCCCAAGTCGATAGGGACTAGCACCATCCTCCTTGTTCACCACCCCTATGGTGTCAACATAGAGGCTGTTTCGAGGATCAGACTCGGCCATTATTGTAAGAACGAACCGGAGATCAAAACGCTAGCCACAATGAAATCGCCAAGAGATCGACTTCTGAAAGCGAAATAAGAAAGTGCACAAAGTCAAGACTTATCAAGAGACGAAAAGAAGACCCAGAGCTGATAAAGGAACCTGGGAGCTGGAGCTTCACGCTGGTGACCAGATGCAGAAGCAGTTGCAAAGTGCACACACCCTGCTGCTGAAGGCAGAATCAGCTCAGTCTCTCAAAGCACCGGGAGGTCCTTGTTCATCGTGAAAGAGAAACATCAAAAGAAGAGACTGGGACGTGTGTGTGTTTCTTTGGGAAACCACGCCGCAAAGAGCAGAGATAAACAACGGATCAGGGAGGCCAATTGTGTGAATCCACGAGACAGGGTTTGGAATGCAGGCACCTGGAGATGCAAGTTCAAGACCCTCGAACTGAAAGGCACGCAAGAATGTCCTTTTTTGTGTTTCACAATGAGAGCTGTGATCCGGAGACGCGCATTGTGCCACCCAGTGCGCATTGGTGCTCGGCGCTGCGGCAGCGCCAGAGGTGATTCTGCAGCATGAGTGGTTTTCATTGTTCGTGCATGTAGACGTGCAGCCGCGGAGTCCCAGGGAGTTGGAAAGCGGCTAAGAATCTTCACTTTCTTAGATGGAACTTCATCGTTGAAGTTGAGATTTGACATCCACTAATAATATACTCGAAAGCGAGGACAAGTCTTAGTCAGCAACCGGAGCTTGGTGGGCAGGGTTCTTTTAACATACGGAGGGTGGGCTATTGTCGTGGAAAATTGATAGATTCAAAGAGCGGCATAGGCACTTGGCTTAGAACGTCCCAAAGCAGATCATATATTCTTGTAGACTTTGCTTTGGCAGAATCATTTGACAACGGAGATATACTCCCAATGATAATCGCCAGTTACATGAACGGAAGACGCATTATGATACACATGACTCCTCGACCTTCCGACCTCCCAAGGAATAAAATAGAAACCCAGTAAGATGCCCGTTAGAGAAAATTAAAAAAAAAAAAAAAGAACACCGCAAAATCCCAGTCATTGTCGTAAGTAAAGGAAGAATTTAACCACCGAAACCATAGAGGGTACCTAGAAGTCATCGAGTTAGCCATGCAGACCCCCAAAAGCAAATGAGCTTGGGACCACTCACGTCCTTGACGTTTCAAGGCATAAACAACATCGAGAGATGTGACTGTCTTTCTCTTGGCGTGTTCAGTGTATGTGACGGCATCGCGGATAACTCCTTCGAGGAAGGTCTTCAAGACACTTCGGGTTTCTTCGTAGATCACTATAGGCAAAGACGTTAGCAATGTCCTAACCCAAAACTTGGGTTTTCTATAAAACATACTGGCTGAGATACGCTTGACACCACCACGACGAGCAAGACGACGAATAGCAGGCTTGGTAATGCCCTGAATGTTGTCACGAAGAATCTTTCTGTGGCGCTTGGCACCACCCTTTCCGAGGCCCTTGCCACCCTTTCCGCCTGTTGAAACCACGCGTCAGTCACTGCATGGCGGATGAAGCGACGCGTTGGGATGTACTCACGTCCAGACATTTTGGATTAAGATGTAGAGATTTGAGATGAAGATAGGATGTGGAAGGCGATCAAGAGATCTGTCACGATAGTTTGTTTTGGATAGCAAAGTAGAAAGCTTGTGGGGAATAAGAGAAGAGAGAGCAGCCAGAGACGCCGGGAAGCGCGATATTTCAATACGGCAGAGGCAGCCAGAATGCTGTCGGTGATCACGACCGCCGCATCAGGCCCGCAGCCAATCAGCGCGCGGCAACGAGGACCAAAGGACGCTAGCAGTCTTGGTCTGATTCAGCCAATCAGAAGCTCGGATCAGAGCCCATAGATCGATCCGAGGACAGACCTGATCTCGACCAAACACCCCTTTGGCAGGAAATGCACTTGGATCAGTTGATCCTGGCCGGTGAGCATGCCCCAGATCACCTTGGAGACGAGGCTGATCTGCGTTGTGTGGTGGGCGTGCGGGCAGGATCAGAAGCAGCCGTGGGAATCAGATGGGGTGCCTGAAGGCGGTGAGCATGAGCGAGGCCGTCCGCCCGCCAAAACAGAGCGGCAGAATCAGGGCCGGCAAAGACGCTGCTTTCCAGCACTTTTTGCAGGCCGCAGAATTCGGCGCTAGCTGGCTGCGAAAACAAGGCCAACGCCCGGCTGGTGCATTCCCGCCAGATCACCCCCCTGATCCGCCACTACAAATACCCTTCCCCCACCCCGTTTTGCTGCATCTTCTTACATCCTCCCACTCAACATCCATCGTCAACCTTGACTCTCCATCCATTTCCATCAACAACGCGCCTTTCCATCAACTTTTTACTTCTCCATCACTTCGCAACAACTCGCAAAGCTCTATTAAAATGGCTAGAACTAAGCAGACTGCTCGTGAGTACATTCCACCTCACTGTCGCTTGACTGGCCCGTTGCTTGGGCATCACACAACCGTTCATTCCACTGACATTTTTCATTTGATAGGCAAGTCCACGGGTGGCAAGGCCCCTCGTAAGCAAATTGCCGCAAAGGCTGCTCGCAAGGCTGCTCCATCTACTGGTGGTGTCAAGAAGCCTCACCGCTACAAGCCTGGTAAGCAAAGTCGCCTATGGACTCGAAACAATCAATCAGTGATTAACGAATCTTCAAACAGGTACCGTCGCTCTCCGTGAAATCCGTCGCTACCAGAAATCCACCGAACTCTTGATCCGCAAGCTTCCTTTCCAGCGTCTGGTTCGTGAAATCGCTCAGGATTTCAAGTCCGACCTTCGCTTCCAGTCTTCTGCCATTGGTGCTCTTCAGGAATCCGTTGAAGCATACCTCGTATCCCTCTTTGAAGATACCAACCTTTGCGCTATCCACGCCAAGCGTGTTACTATCCGTATGTCTCTACCCATCTTCTCATTCTTGTTCAAGTCTTATACTAATAATTTCAACAGAGTCCAAGGACATCCAGCTTGCTCGTCGTCTCCGTGGTGAACGTTCATAAACAGTTCGATTTGGTTTATGAATAGTCTTTTTCCTTTAACTTCATACCTCTTATGACTGGCGAGACATGATGGCTTGTTTTTTAACTGGGATTTTTTCAAATTGGGATTCGTTTTTTTTTTTAATCATCAATCGTGGAAATGGGGGCTAGGTTGGTCTGAGGCGTCATTTGCTGTACATTACATATCTCGATTGCGAAATTGCTCCGACTCGAACCCGTTTATCATGGGCCGTGCGACTTAGATCCAGCAATGAACATTTCTAAGTCTTGACATTTCCTTATATCATCAACATGGTTTAAATCAAATTATAAATGAATCCATCATATCAACGCGACCTTCATAAGTATTTTTCTACTTTGGGATATTTTTCGGCTAGCATTCCAGTGCATGCGATAACTTTTCCCGGCATCTGTGGGTGACTCACCGAGAGAGGCGAACACGCCGCCGAACATCCCGACAACCGCAGAACCACCAGCATCTTCGCGATCATTCATCTATCTCGAAGGCGTGGCCCCGTCGCCTATCCAGCCTCACGTTCAGATTTCCCTTGCGCGCTTGTGCCGATTTCTTCCATCATGAGTATTTGCCGTTCAGCATCGCTGCCCCACCTCAAAGTCCATATCTGACTTAACTACCCAAAATTTCGGTCTCGGCTATTTCGCGATTCGCTCCCACGACTCTCTGAGTCTCTCTGCCCGCTTCTTTCTTCGCAAAGACAGACTGTGATGACGCATTGTCCAATCTAGACAGTTTGCTCAGCGATATTCGCCGTCTGACACGCTCGAACCCTGGATTTTACGCGAGACGGCCTACGCGGCGGACGGACAAGCCATGAAACTCATCGTCAATGGCGGCCTATCCGTCTCAGCAGTGATACGGCGACAGACGACCTCGTCTCACTACCGGGCTTTGCGCCGGAACACATCGACCTCTACTACCTCGTCCCAACCCACTCCGGCCCCGAAAGCCGCGGATGCCGCCAAATCTCCCACGTCGCAGCCGCATCCACACAGTTCCGCAAGTGCGTCGGCGGGAGCTGCGCTCCCATCGATACCGGAAGCGTCGTCTCGGTCGCTCCGGCAAATTATAAAAGCAAGTCCGCTAGGGCAGGCGGTGGGATGGTACAGTCGTCAGCAGCACACGCGGCCGTATTGGACGCAGATGTGGAGTACGCTGGTGATATTCTTCTGTGCCGATCTTTGCGCGCAATTTGTGGTGCCCAGCGATGAGGGCTCACAGCTCGAAGGGGAGAAGGATGGGACCGCGACGGATGACGTTGCGTCGAGTGCCTGGTCGAGATATGACCCGTTAAGGACGGCGAGACACTTGACGGTGGGAGCCGTGGCTTGCATTCCGGTGTATAGATGGTATGTATATCCACTATGCGCCTATATATATTTCTTTACTAACAGACAATGTTCCAAGGTTCATGTTTCTCCATCACCACTTCAATTACGCTTCCAAAGGCCTCTCGATTCTCACCAAAGTCATCGTATCACAATCCGTTTTCACACCTACCTTCAACACCTACTTCTTCACCATGCAATCTCTCCTCGCCGGTGCGTCGCTCGAGGATACCTGGGAGCGAGTCAAGAAAGCAGTGCCCAACAGCGTCATGAACAGTCTCAAGCTGTGGCCCGGCGTCACCGCGTTCTTATTCCTCTATGTTGAGCCACAGTTCCGCAGTATCGTCTCCGGTGTGGTGGCTGTGGGGTGGCAGACGTATCTGAGCTGGTTGAACCAAAAGGCTGCTAAGGAAGTTAGGGAGGCTGCTGCTATCGGAGCGGGGGACCTGTTAGAAAGTCCCACCCCACGGAATGGCGCAGTTCTTCAACCTTCGTGAGGATGTATTAGTTGGCCATGTATATGTTTTTGGCTTCACGTTGCTTTTTTGTTATAGACACCACTGATTTGGGCAGCTCAGGCTGTTTTTGATAGAGTGGATAGATCGTTGATACCCCTTTATGAAGACATGAATTTCGCTCAGCGCAAAATGCCATTTCAACACCTTGCAAAAGTTTGGTAATACGGATAAATTGTCATAAACATTCAGTCTCTGTTTGAGAAGTGAAAGTAAATACAAAATTTGGCGTGAATGAGACATCGTGGACGCTAAACTCCGAAATGTCACAGGTTCGCGTCACTCAATGACTGCATCAATAACCCCGAACATCAAGACTCGGGGGTGAGTTTTTGGATATCTAGTCCCAACCCGATCCCTAACAGATTAACAACCTGATTATCCATGGATTGAATACGGTCCTAGACATATTTCCCAAGACTGCACCAGGCATGCCCGACCCCTCGCCACACGAAACTCAACTCCCGATATCCCACGACGAGAATCATCGCGACGCGAATTTCAGCGACTACGGCTCCGATTTCACGCCGGAAGAAGCAGACCTCTTGAGCGAGCTTCTGGATAACCTCGTGGCACCAACGGAGGATACGACCGATGCTGTTTCTGGGCGGGTCATAGCTCCTCGAGGAGGAGCGTCGCGGTCGGGCGGCCCGGTGGTGATACCGGATATCGAAGATCATGTCTTTATGTCTAGCTTGCACCCCGATCAGGAGCGCGGTGGCGAGGCACTCAGTCCAACTACCCTGGGGCTTTTGGAGGTCTGGGAGACTCTGTCTGATTTCGAGATCGAAGACGTCGCTGGCGGCGGGGGTGGTGAGTTATGATTTCATGATCTTCCTCGATTTCGTTTTTTAATGAGAGTAGCTGACATTCTGACATTTAAAGCGTCTAGTCGAGAATGCGGACTCTGCGCGACGTCGAGAATCCGAACAGCGCCGAGAGGAAGAAGAGGGGGAAAGCCAGCGACAGGCTGTTGAGAGCAGCGCGAATGGGGCTACAAAAGGTAGTTCTACCAAAGTTATAGACAAAAGGTCACCGTTGGAACGGTTTCGTAAAGCACCTCGAAAGAATCTTTCGGTTACGGACTTGGTTTCTCCGGCATGGTGCGAGCTACAGTACTGGTACAGTTTGACGAAACATGGGCGGAAGAGGGCGACGCCGGCCATGAAGAAGGGGAGTGCTGTGCATAAGACTCTGGAGGAACAGGTCCATACTACGGTCCCCGTGGAAATATTGACGCGGGAAGATGGGTGGGCGGTAAGGATATTCAATGTGATACAAAGCTTGCATACTCTGAGGAAAACTGGAATAACTCGTGAGCTGGAGGTATGGGGTGTGATTGATGGAGAGATTGTGACCGGAATTATTGACGAGCTTTCCTACGATTGTCCTGATCCTGAGCTTGAAGCGACGTCCAACCCAGACTGTGCACAGGTGCGATCCGCGGTATCGCTGATTCCAGAGGAGAACGTGTCCGTTTCGGACTCTGCTAATCCCGTGACTGAAGGCGATAAGGAGGTTACTGATTCTATTTCGATAACCGGAACTGTGGGCTCTACGCAGCTAGATACGGAGGAAAAGATTTATATCACAGACATCAAGACTCGTGGCTCTACTACAAAAGCTCCGACGGTCTCAAGCATAGGATTTCGGCCCACGCTCCTCCAGCTCCATCTATACTATCATATGCTAGCGCGACTCATAACCAGCGACGACATCACGATCGAATCGATAGCTTCACGGTACCGCCTGGATACCAACCGTGTTTTATCCGATAGCCTCATCGCCCAACTATCCACCTGCTTCGAATCTAATATCGCCGAAGAACCATCGAGCTCACCAATCGACCAAGAATCCATCAACGCCCTCTTCAACCAGCCCTCGCTCTCCTCACTCTGGTCACTCATGAAACAACATCTCCAACATACCTTCCTCCCTCCCTCCCAAACCACCCAACCCACCACCGGAATCTCCCCACCCACGCTGCTCTCCCCGCTCCTAACCGCGACATACGTCTCCTCCGCGCCCGATCCATCAGAACCCATGAAATGCCTCGGCAGCAGGTCGTTCTTCTTCGATGCCAACGATTTATACCCTTATCTTGCGGATGGGATGCGGTTCTGGCGCGGAAACAGAGCGGCAAAGGGCGTCGGTATGGTTGAAGCGTGGAAGTGTCGGATTTGTGAATTTAGAGATGATTGCGAGTGGAGGGGTGCGAAGGAGAAGGAGGTGGTGCAGAGGAGCAAGCGCGGAGGCAAGGCGAAGGGAAAGGGATGAAGGGGGTCCGAAATTTTGAAAGGGGCCTTTCTTTTTGTCTATCTGGGCACTTTTATATAGTGCTTGTCCTGGATCTTGGGAAGCAGTTGACCCCTTTGGCTTGATCTATGTGCACAATTCCTGTTGGCATCATGGCGGTTCTACTGCTTTTGGTATGATATTCTAAGCCTCCAGCAATACACCTGTTCCCAAAAAGGTGCTTGGAGAGGGCAGGTATGATTTAAGAAACCAAATATTACCTTTTCTAGTTTTCTTCCTCAACTAGGAGACCAGCATGCGCTGCTCGTCAAACTAGAGTTAGCAAGTTCCAAACAGGACTCTTGCACATATGTTCAGGTTATTCGACGACTTGGATGCGGGACGATTCAAAGTTGATGAGCCAAGCACATTGGAATGTTCATTCAATTTCTGCTGTGGTATGTTTTGATAAGATTTGGGTTTGTTTAACTACAGCAATAAGCTGGGAAATAATATCATATTTCTATGTTGAACAGAAAGTGTTTTTTGGGCTAGTTAAAGTTGGGTTGACATGAGAAGACCCGAAAAATAATCAGCTTTTTGTATCAGATGTCAGCATCAGCATTCATAACTGCGGCCTAAAAGATAACATTAGCTGACTTCTGGTCAAGATGCAGCCAGGTTGCATGACTTACTCTTGCGTCTCGAAAAACTGGTGTGATTCCAGTCCAAAGTTGGAACTACATAACCCATGTTAGCTTTAAAATTCGGGATCGTAAGAAAAACTAAAACAGTTAACTAGCTTACCTGGTACACTCCTTGTCCAACCAGAGCCTCCAAGCCGGGGATCGTTGCCCAACCGCAGTCACTAGCTAACTGACTCAACGGTGTCACAGTGGGTTTATATGCCATCTCCAACAAGACTCGCTTGGGTGCCAATTCTTTGAGTTCGGCATCAATACGTGCAGCCATTTCGAATAACCGGCACAAAACTTCCCTCATGCTAGGGTCAATTGGTTGGTCACCCGGAATCGTGCCGATAGCCACTGAAGGGAGGATTTCCAGTGATTCTGCGTCCTTAAGGATCTGGAGATTATATGTTGCGGGAAATGACAACGCCATGTCATTCAGTTTGGACTCCGAGCGGCCAACAAGGTAAATGGGGGAATAACCCATGCTGTGAAGAGCATGAATGGCGGCACGAGCGGTACCGCCGCCACCGATCACGAGGCCGGGAGCCGGGTCATTTGAGGTTGACGGAGAGACTGCTCCGCCGTGACGGAGACATTGGACCATGCCCTGCCAGTCAGTATTGTAGCCGATCAGGCGTGGACCCTTCTTTACGTCGCCTGGTTCCCTTGGGGCCGGAACGATAGTGTTCACGGCTCCAATGACTTTAGCCTCAGGCGCAATTTCATCTAGCAACGGCATGATGTCGAGTTTGAGAGGGATCGTGATAGAGGCGCCCCCAAAATCGGGTGCGTGAATTAAATCTTTGACATTCTGAACATCATCGGTTTCCAAACGGCCGTACACATGGGGTAAACCGACATCTGCAAACAAAGCATTGTGCAATGCAGGGGATCTCGACGCAGATATTGGTTTTCCAACGATAGCAAATTTCTTTGACTCGATCTCACCCATTAGAGAAAGCCCTTCTCTAATTTCTTTTGCGGAAAGTTGACCCGGCGCAGCTTTGAACGGAAGTTTTGGGTGAGACACGGGTGTCATGAAGCCGTTCAGGATCCGACTGAGCCGACCCCTTTCGCCCATATTGATAGCGATCACAGGAATATCGTGGGCTTTCTTTGCCCAAATTTTGAATTCCCTGAGGGCGATATTGTCGTCTAGCTGACTGGCAATGCCGACAAGTTTGATAATATCTCCATACTGCAAAGCTTTGTTATAAAACTGTGTCCAAGATCCATTTCTCCACGATAGTCGGTTAGCAACGTCGTGGTGAGATGCGATTATCTTGGAAACACCTTTCATTTCAGTTACGGCACGTAGGACGTATTCCGGGAATGTAACTTCAAGGTCAACAAACTCTGAACCCATGCGAATAGCAAGTCGGTACAAGTCCAAAGCAGCGTTGTGTGCGTCATCAGGGAACCGGCCGCCTTGGCTTTTGGTTCGGATCGTAAACACGAGCGGAACAGACACACGACTGCGGAGAATGGAAATCTGCTCAGCAACGTAGTCAACAGAGGGCATTTCGCTGCTAGAAGACGGGTCCACGAGCAAGTCAACGCGCAATTCAACTGCGTCTGAACCAAGTGTGATGTCGTTTAATATGTCTACCGACGGGCGTAGGTCTGGGAGAGTCAATGAAACGAAAAAGGACTGTGGCTTCTTTTTCATAAGGGCGAGATGGTCCACTTCTCCGGTCACGACCCTTAAAAACCGTGAAAAACTTTCCAAGGCGGAACCCATTTTACTCGGGTCGCTCTGCTGGCTGTAATATTGGATGTTGCTGCATTGTTGGAACCAAGGCTTTCGACGCAGCCACACGCCCATCATATCTTCAACGTAAGCTGGCCGTGTCTTGTCAATCTTCAAAAAGTCCATAACTGCGTTGATATCTCGCATAACTAGAAGAACGTTGCCATGGGCCTTTTGGTACTGTGTCAAGAGATCACGGGCCTCTTCCGTTTCGACGATTCCACCGCCGCAAGCAAATACATATCCTGTTGGCTTTTCGCTTAATACTTGCCGCAAGAGAGCAAGTTCATTGGCCCTGAAACCTTCCCAGCCTTGCTCTTTGATAATCTCTGGTATGCTCTTACCCAGTTTGCTTTCAAGCTCCACGTCAAGGTCAATAAATGGCCGTTTCAAAACCTTCGATGCCCATAAGCCGCTTGTTGTTTTGCCTGCTCCTCTCATGCCAATAATGAATAATGAGGCCGCGGGTTTCTCTGCCTTTTTCTTTTCAGATTTTAGTTCCACACCTTCAAGGTTTGCTTTGAAGAGCTGGGCCAATGTATCCCACCAAGCAGGCCAAGTTTTGCCCACACACTCTTTCTCAAGGATCAAAGTAGGGTGGGATGCTGCAAGGGAGAGAACGCTAAAGCTCATAGCTACCCGGTGATCGTCGTAGCAATAGACTCCATGCGGCAGCCGCAATAGCGCGGAACGATCGATGCCATCAATCTCGAGGCCGTCTTCATGTTCTCGACAAGTTACCCCAAATTTTGCCAGTTCATCCTTCATTGCTTTGATCCGGTTACACTCTTTAACGCGTTGGTTGGCAATACCAAATATTCTTGTTGTACTGGTTGAACCAGCCGTTGCCACGGCAGCAAGGACGGAGGCCGTTAGGAAAGCGTCCGTCATGGGTTCCATATCGACATTCGGCAATGCATTTAATGCTCCGTTCCTGGGACCGGTAACGGTGGTTGAGAAGCTAGACTGATTAACCTCGCATCCCATAGGTCTCAAAACGTCCACCGCGAACCGTGCATCTCCTTGTAAGGATTTTGAACCAATATTGGGAATAGTACAGGTAGTGCCCGTGATTGCAGCGACGGCCAAAGGGTATGTCGCGGAGCTGGCGTCGCTCTCGATGATGTATTCCGTCGGGTTCATGTATCTGCCTTGCGGAATATGATATGTATGTTCTTCCGAAGTAGACTTTTTTACGTCGATGCCAAACGACCGCATCATAGCGGTTGTCATGTCAATGTAGGGCTGTGAAATCGGTTTGCCGCCAACGAGCTTTAAAGTTACGGGCTCCTTCGCATACGGGGCGCACATGAGTAAAGATGACACATACTGAGAGGAAACCTTCGCTGCTAGGCTAATATGTCCGCCTGCAAATCCACCTGACGCATCAATCTTTAGGGGAAGGCAGCCAGTGGTCTCCATGTATTTGATCCCTGCACCGTTAGTTCTCAGAGAATCAACAAGGGCACCAATTGGTCGTTGCTTCATTCGTGCGTTTCCTGTAAGGATGGTGGAGTCAACGGTGCTTTTGTTGGCGAGAGTTGCAACAGTTGTGAGGAACCTTGAGGCCGTTCCAGCATTTCCCAAGTAAAGAGCATCCGGACTTGCTTGCAATCTACCTCCTTTGCCGTGAACGACAAGAACTTCGCCTTCTTCCTCCCACGAAAATGTTGCAGCCCCCAAGCGTTCGAGAGCACTAAGCATAACCTCTGTATCATCTGAATGAAGAAGATTCTTGATACGACAGGTACCAGAGCCAAGGGCGGCAAGAACTAGAGCCCGATTAGAGATGCTTTTTGAGCCTGGAGGGACGCATGTGATTTCTAGTGCGTGGGGCACGCCAGGAGAGACTTCGATGCTCGGTGCTAGCACGATTTTGATATCTTTATTAGATACCACGCTTGCCTTCTGCTCATGGGTGCTGCCAATAGAGGAGAGGAGAACGACTTTTTTCATGGGTCCAGCATTCTTCTTGTCGACAGCCATGAATGCAAGGAGTTGCTCAACACTGCAATGTTTCCCAGCACTTAGCCGCCTTACCCGTGAGTCCTTCAGGGATGTTGGCAGCCCGTAACTTGCCAAACATTTAACGAGGCGAGACACCGCAACACTTTTGAGAATCCCGAGATGTCGCGCCAATTCCGCTTCTTTAACCATGCCTATTGCCACACATTCTCCATGAAGGATCTGTGGGGCAAGTATGCCTTCAATAGCATGTCCAATGGAATGACCAAAGTTTAGAAGATTTCGTAGTCCGCCTTCCCTTTCGTCTTTCGAAACGACGTCGGCCTTGAACCTTGCGGATGCTAAAATTGTTAGTTTCAATATCTCTTGAATCCCACTGAATCGGGGACGCTCAGTTGTATTTTCGGATTTCACGGCGGCGAGAATAGCATCTGCATTCCGTTCCAACGCAGCAAAGTCTTCTTCACTTGATATAGCCGCAGTCTGTAGAAAGATTAGCAACACCACCTTGACAGAAACAAGCCAATAGACCTTGCCTTGATCACTTCAGCCATTCCATTTATAAACTCTCTTTCGGGTAAAGTGTTCAAAAATTCCATATCTAGGTAGATTTTTTCTGGCTGCCAGATGGCACCAATTAAGTTCTTCCCATGAGTGGTGTCAATCGCGGTCTTTCCACCAATCGAAGAGTCAACCATCGCTAGCAATGTCGTCGGCACTTGTACAAAACGGACTCCACGCATGTAGGTTGCAGAAACATAGCCGATGAGATCCCCGATAACACCACCACCAAGAGCAATTATCACGGTATCGCGACCACATGGTGGCTGGCGACTTAGCATCCAGTCTTCGATCTCTGCTTTTGTCTGACGAGACTTGGAAACTTCTCCGGGAGGGATCGCATAAGTGAGAAGCCGTGGCTTTGGCGTCACGCTCGAGGCTGCAGCTTCAAACGCTTGCTGAAAGCTTGGAACGTATAGAGGAGTCAAAGTAGTATCGGAGATGAGGATATAGGTCGAAGAAGGGCAATTTGTCAATAAATCTTGCGCGACATGGCGTTTCCAAATGCCAGGATCGGCAACTATACTGTCCCGACCTAGGATTTTGATCACTGTGGGAGTAGCCATGGCGGGAGGGCCGTTGGCAGGCTGAGCGACTTCAAATTGTGTTTCTCAACTGCAGATGAGCGATCTCTGTCGATTGAAGAGGGTCAAAGCTGCATGAAAGGTAATATGCCAAAAAATTGCTTTTGCCTATGCCCGAAGTTGACAATCATAAGATCATGCGGGTCTATCGGAGCGTGTATATATATATATGGAGGGGAGGGTGGGACAGCGAGCGTAAGCTCCTCCGATGGTAACTAGTGAATGATTTAATCACCAACTGGAAGGGTTCAATTGATAGGATTCGGGAGACTCCACGAATTTCAAAGCGCAGGGAACTCAGGCTCAACGTCTGGCTGCAAAATGACTCGAGAGAGGTGAAGCCAGCGACAGCTGATAAGTGAGTTATTCTGCCTCCAGTCACCGCCTCCGAGATCGTTGCTTCACTTTGAGCTCAGACGGCATCAAGTTGACTTTGATCAGTTCCTGGGAGAAATGGGCCTCCGCTAAAATTATAGATCTGACAGAGACGGAAACTGATGTCAAAGGCTATTATTATCTTCCTAATTTTCTCCTCGGGCCTCACAGCGTCTCACACCAACCTGGACTTGTTGAGCCAGTCCGGTATCGGTCTTGCAGCATCTTTCAGGATATGGATAGTGTGGTTAACTAGTGGTTCTATGGGTACTCCATACTCTGTAGGCCTGAAAGGCTTACTCTGGACAATGCCGTTTTCAAACCTACAGGATAACCAAGGGAGTCAAATATATACATTCACTCCTCACATGAGGGAGCGGTTGGAGAGATAAAACTCCACCTCGGAAAGGCAATTTTCTTTCAATTTATTAAGCAGCTGCATACTTCCAACATTCCAGTAGCCCCATGGGAAATCAAACCTAACATCCTTTTACTAGTACATTTTTACCAAGCATGATTTGTAAATCAATACCTCCCATATCCATCATTGCGTCCATAGTGACCTGTCTGAGAAGAATACTGCTGGCCGCGGCCACCACCGCGGTAATAACCACTACCGCCACCGCCCCGGCCACTGCGGTTTGAGGGCTGTGATCTGTCCTGGTAGCCATACTGTCTGTCCTGGTATGTATCTCTTCCATATGAACCTGGTTGGTATGAGCCCCTACCACGAGCTGGTGGTTGGTATGAGTCTCGTTGACTGTATGAGTCGCTCTGGCCTCCGTAGCCTCCATAGTTTCCGCCGCGGGACTGTTGGGATTGAGGATACCGGGATCGACCTCGATCGAATTGAGGTGGCCCACCACGACCTGAACCAGGCGGACCATTCACATTATGCGGCGGTTTGAAATTTGGATCGAGGTGAGCGGCAAACGGATTCGGGCGGTCACCTGCATATGAGATTCGACCTCTGCCTCTCCCGTTTCCTGAATGCAGGGGCGCGCCTCCAAATGCTCGTCCAGAGTGTTGCGCTTTGTTTTTTGTAACCTCAATATCCGTCCTATCAAGGACCGGTGGGTTGAAAACCACTCCCCGGAGGAGCATTGATTTATGAGTATGTATGGACTTGGGGATATCGTAAAGAACGCTAAATTCAGGCGCTTGTCAGTACCTGGTTCGTGGATTATAGACTTGGAGAAACGTACCTGATCGAACGGTCCTGGTCGAGACTGGGAAGTTCAACGTCATTGATGGCGGCTACCAGTGAGCTATGAGGGATATATGCCCCGTCACGCTCCACCTCGCCGCCAAGTCCTTCGCTAACCCGCATATTCAGTTTTAAATTGGGAACTCCCTGCTTTTTGGAGTAGAAGTTTGCAACTATATCTTTGTACAAAGGGTGCCGATCTGAGATAAACAGAGTGTCCCGGCCCATTTCATTTCGTGCCCTCTCTGCTTCTGTCAAACGGTGATATCGCTTGGCCATTGCAGCCAGGAGACGTTTTTCATCAATAAAAGGGAGCAACGCTACTCCTTGCCATGCGAACTTCTTCCCGTTAAGGTCAATCGGAAAGTCCTCGGGATAAAAATCGATAATCTCACTCGCGGGATCGGACATCAAGTCTCTAAAGATATCGGGAATCGCATGGTTAGATGCTGCAGGCAAGACACCCATGAGTTGTTCGAACGGCCTGAAAGGTTTGCCTTTATTGAACTGGATGTCCATTTGATCGAGGTCTACAAAGTCCGCTGCGAAGGGCGCGTAGTGGTAAGGATAATACCACGTCCATGAAGGGCAACCCTGAAAGTAATACAGGAGAACCCAACAAAGGCCCTCCACATAGGATTTTGCGACTTTGTGGCGAAATTCAATGTCCTTGGGATCTACATTGAATTTTTGCTCGTAATATCGATCGGCGTACCCTTGTTCCCAAAGGCGAACTGAATCTTCTGGCAACTGGTCCTCGTCTGCAGGTGGCTTTTCGGAATTCTCTTGCTCGGTAGTAGTATCGGCTTCAAGGGCATCGGCCTTTCTTTTACCTAACGGTGACGCCTTTGTCGACGAAGCTATAGAACTTTCGACATTTACGTCAACATTGCTGGTACCGTTTTCCGAACCAGATATCAATTGGCTTTTTAAGGCGGCAGCTGCGCTTTTGTTGGCCATGTTTGCTTTATAAACCGCACCTCGGTTCACGACCATGGCATGGGTCAATTCTCGCTCTGCTCTTGGCAATTGTCCTTTACTTGGGATGAAAAGGGGCATATCCGCCGGGGCGCCACCATCCATTTCTTTCCCCCGCCTTGAGCTGGGCATTGACATATCGTTGTCCAAGGATTTCCTTGGGCGTTTTCGGGGGTTTTCTTCCGCGCGTTGCCTCTCTTGTTCTTTGCGACGTTTTGCATTGGCGTTTCTCCTCTCTTCGGTTTGTCGACGTCGCCGAAAAATGGCATCTTCTTGCTTTGCTAAGCCTTGGAGAATTAGCTGCGCACGCTTTAGATCCACATGGCCATCCTTGGTCAAGTAACCTCCCATGAGTGGGATGTTATCGCGCCATATAGCAATTAGAGTATCGATTCCGTTTTCTCTTATCTCTAATGAGGGCAAGTGAGGTAAAAAGTCGTTGCCAACGAAAAAGCACATGAAGACCCAATCATCGAGAGCTCGCTCGAGGTCAAAAGGAAATGGTTGGTTAGGAACGAACATCTCGGCTGCTAGATATTCCCGAAGAACAGAGACATGAAGCCAAATAAATGGTTTAAGAGGTGACCCTTTCTGCTTTTCATCAAATTCCCCACTTTTTTCTTTAGCTTTGCCGGTGCAAGCTTCAGCAACATGGCCCTGTTGACCGCAAAGTCGACAAGTCCTCGCTTTGGACTCTTGGAAAAATACGTCCTCTCGTAATACTCGAAAATGAGGTTCATGGGTCCCAAGCCCAAGCATAATTAGATCGGCGTCCTACGTAATTTAGTGGTTGTAGGGTAAGTAGGGTTCGGTTAAACATACCAAGCCGTATATGACATGGCGCGTATTAGGATCGTGTTCCGAGCATGACCTTTGAGATCGAATAAATTCCATAATTTTGTGCTCCCCTTCACCAGGAACTGTGGCATCAGAGATGATGATTTTAAGCTGAACCGTGCGTTAGTAAATACCCACGCAATATAGAATTGGAAAGCAGACCTTTTCCCAAGCAGGATCAGTATTCAACTTGTATGCAACCCAATAACGCAGTGCTGCGGACAATATGTCCATGAACGGTGTTCCAGGAGTGATAACGTTACTGTCCCATGTTTTGTTGACTACTTCTTCCGCAAGCTCGGTATCGCCTTTTCCTCGGTTTTGTTTCCTCAACAATTTTGCGAATTCGGCTTTCTTTTCGTCAGCCTCCTTAGCTTCCTGGGCGGAGCGGAAGCGGCGCGAGCGTTGTTGGTTCATCTTCGCACGGGGAGCTACGCCATCTATAGCGCAAACAATATTAGCACTATATACTCATGTAGTCAAACAGGAAATGTCATTAAGGAGGAAAAAAAGTTCTACCCCCCTTGGCGACTTTGTAGAACATCATAATAATGTAGCCGTCCGAGGGGAGATAACCGAACTCCCGTGAGTTTAGCCCTCACATACCAACAGCAATCATCAAAAGTTTCCTCGGCCGGACCATATTCACGACCCTGTCTGTATATTTAAAAATCTCCAACATCATCTCCCCCTCGTTTGATGGTGGTGGTTTACCCTCAGGATGGGTACAAGGGTGTACGATTCCGTTCATATCCAGGTAGAGATTATCCATTTCTTCGCCATTCGGGTTCGGTTTGGTAGTGTCCACGGGAATCTCCTCTCCATTAAATTCTTGAGGCAGTTCTTCGACAACGGCCGATATGATTTTCGGATACTTGGTGGATAGCCACCGGAAAAGCGCTGGGACACCCATTGTGCAAGTCCAATCCGCTGCTCAGGACAACGCGATGAAGAAGATGAAACTTCGATAACTCTGTGTGATTAATCCATAAAACACGGGGCCGGGGCTTTCGTAAAAAATTAACAGAAATCTGGGGAAGCAAAGAGGGCTTTGAAGTCCTGACTGCGAAAATCCGACTTCGCGCAGCTTGAAGGCTTGATCGGTTCAATCGACGCTTACCCAAAACGGATATGCAGAGACCTTTCTCCGGAACGGATAATTGTCTCCCCGTCGCGGCTGAAACCGTGAGCTCACGTGACGGCAATAGAGCCCCGCCAAGCTTCAAGCAGATGCTTGGCGCTTCATTGTTTCTCGGAAAGGCCAGAACACCACCGAGTTGTTCAGATGTCGTTCAATTGCCTCGATGTCTGTATATAACAGTGGAATCCCTGGTCTCCGGTGACCATGCTGGCATGCATAACAAGCTGCAATGTTTCGCATCCTTGAATCCCAAGCCCCGGCCCGGCAAACGGCGACGGCTACGATCAATACGCTGAGCAGCCGGCTTCAAAGTGCGACCCTATTAGAGGACCGCAGAGCTGCGATCCTCGGCTTACGGAGCTTCGCCAAAGAGTATCCCGCATCTGTCGCTTCTGGTGCCCTCAGAGCATTGATTGCGTCTTTGCGAAACGATGCGGAGGACGTCGATACTGCGAAAGTGGTCCTTGAGACACTGTTAATGCTATTTGCTCCAGAAGAGAGTAGTGTTCGTGATAATTTGTAATTCTGTGTCAGTTTGGTGAACGTACTAACCCTATATTTATTTAGCCAGAAGCGTCCGACGAGCTCGCACTGTGGCTTGCCGATGAATTTACTCAAGTATGTTTGGTTGCACCGCACGACTGGAAAGCCAGCGATTCTGATATACGGTTAGCGACAAGATAATATCACGATACTCCTCGATCTTTTAGACTCTAGGGATTTTTACTCTAGGCTCTACTCGCTACAATTGATCTCTCAGATCGCTGCCGCGCGACCAGACCGTACCCAAGAGTGCATTTTTATAGCTCCCTTAGGTATATCTAGACTTGTCAATGTGCTTGGAGAGTCACGAGAACCAATACGTAATGGTCAGTCAACGAAACCGGAGTCTCTTCCGTAAACATACGGCTAATTTGGATTCTGCCATACACAGAAGCGCTGCTCCTTTTAATAGCACTCACTCCCTCTTCGGCCGAACTACAAAAGGTTGTCGCTTTCGAAAATGCCTTTGATCGAATATTTTCATTAATTCAAAATGAGGGTTCGTTGACTCACGGCTCAGCTCTCGTGGAAGACTGCCTCTCACTTCTGGGAAACCTCTTGGCGCTAAATGTCTCAAATCAATCATATTTTCGCGAGACTGGGTGCATTAAAAGGTTAGCATCACTCTTAGCCGATGCTGCTGAGGGACAGGAGTCAGGAGAAGCTATCCCGGAATGGACTTTGGAACAACGAGATAAGAATCTGTGGGGTACTTTGGCGATCATTCAGCTTTTTCTTGTGAAAGGGGGAATGAGCACCCCTACCAACCAAATGGCATTTTGGCAACATGACGTTTTGCAACAAGTGCTCCGGATTGCATTTGGTGAGGAGTTCAATATTCCAATCAAAGCCAAAGTCCGTGTCCCCTATTTTGTAGGGTACAATATGATTCGCTAACGCTCAATAGGCATTGTCAACATGTGCTGGTTTAATTAGCGGCAACCCCACATTGCAGGAGAAATTCGCTGATTTGGACGTTGCTGTACATCATGCTGAAAAACAAACGTTGAATGGGAGTGTCCATGCTAATGCGCCGACACAGAAGCTCAATGTCATTGAAGCTCTTCTTAGATTAACACTTTTGCCTGCCCCAGCTCAACTTTTGGACGCCAGACTTGCAGCTTGCGAATGCATTCGAGCTTTCACAGAAAACCACAGGGGAATCAAAGTACATTTCCTCCGCAGGGCAATTGACGGCCATACGAGCGGCGAGGATCAAATTCCGAACATACTTACCATTCTTGTGAGTCCACCGGAAAGCAGAGGGATTGTTGACCCCTATCAAAGCTGGCTAGCATGTGTTTTACTATTTCATCTAATACACGATGACCCGGAGACAAAAGGTCTCGCAATGAAAGTCTGTGAGGGCGATGAGTTGAACGGAGAGGAAGTGATTACTTGTATCCAGGCAATAACTGGAAATTTTCTCTCCGGAATACAACGAAACGACGACAAGAGAATCTCAGTTGGCTACTTGATGCTCCTTTGTGGCTGGCTTTTTGAAGACCCTGATGTTGTGAACGATTTTCTAGGTGAAGGAAGTAGTATTCAGAGCCTCATCCAAGAGACTAAACAATGCGTTTCATCGAAAACTCTACTCCCAGGACTCTGCGCTGCCCTGCTCGGGATAATATATGAGTTCTCCTCTAAGGATTCTCCTATTCCAAGGGCAACATTGCACCAACTACTGATGGGGCGACTTGGGAGGGAAGTATATATTGATAGGATTACAAAACTTCGAGAGCACCCATTGGTCCGAGATTTCGAGGTGATACCCCAAACCTCCCACGGCCATCACGACGGTGGCTTCCCAAAAATTTTCTTTGACAGGCTCTTTATCGACTTTCTGAAAGACAATTTTAGCCGCCTCATTAGGGCAATCGATCGTGAGCCAGGGATCGAAGTCCCAGTTATAGCAAACGGTATTCCAAAAGGTATCTCACGGGAGCTCGTGGATTCTCTTCAGACACAGGTCGAAGATAAGACTCAGACCATCCAAACAATGGAGACTGAACTGCTGTCTCTAAAACGGAAACTGGAACAGGAAGAGCTTGATCACCGGAGAACCAAGGAAGTCTGCGAAGTTGAGCTTAGCCGAATTAAACACGTCAATGATATGCACCAAATGACCCATGCCGAAGAGATCCAGAGGTTAGAAGAAAATCATGAGCGTCTCCAAACCGACTTGGCCAAGAAGCACGCCAAGCTGTTAGCTACAATGGTCCAACATAAGCAAACTTCGTCTTACGCAGAAGAACTATGCGAGCGTTATGACGCGGAGGTAAAATATTTGAAAAATAAAATTTTCAATCTCGAAGCAAGCCTTGAAAAGGTGAATGAAGACCACATCCAAGATCTGCAGACTGTGCACGAAGAATATTCAGTGAAGATCTCTTCCTTGGAAGGACGCTGCAAGCGAGCAGAAGAGCGAGAGGAAGAAAGTCGCGAACGCGCCACCAAACATGAAACTGGCCTAAAAGACGC